GGGGGGGAGAAAGATTGAGAGACAGAGAAACAAACAAAAAGAGAAGGATGACGATGTTGCCGTGGAACATAATTGTCCACACACGCGTCAGGCGGAGAACGGAGGAGGTTTCATCGATTTCCCCACCGTTTACGCTGGCGGCTAAGCTAACATCAACAAAACAAATAACTCGTATCCGCAGCCAGAGAGGAACCGAGCGTGTCTAACTAAGTGTCTTGAGAATATTATCGTCATTGTTTCGGCAATCAGTTCTCGAGGAGGCAGGCTGCTGCCGCGGCAGTGGCTCAAACAAGCAACAATTCGTATAATGGTGGGATCTTCGTTCTTTTATCTTGTTTTTAAAAAAAAGACGTAGCTGCTGTAATATATAACCATTGGCTGTAGTTGTGGTAGTAGAAGCAGAATAAGAAGTAGAAACAGAAGCATCATCATCATCATCGTCATCGTCATCATCATCATCATCAGCAGCAGCAGCAGCAGTAAAAGTCAAGTGGTTATTGTCACTGTGGTCGTTATTGTTGCTGTTGTTGTTGTGTCTGCCGTTTTCACTGAAGGGTCCAGGTGTTTGTCGAGAACGCACGACAACAGCTATATTTCGCCAGGAACAAGAACACATTAGCAGCAATACAAAGCAACAGAAGAATCAGAGCACACCCGCGTGCCTATTAACCACATGTAGCAATTTAGCAATTAATGAGTTGTTGTCACAGATATTATTATTATTGTTGTAGCTGCTAGATGTTGTTTGTTGTTGTTGTTGTTGTTGTTATTGTTGTTGTTGTTGTTGTTGCAGTTATTGCTGACGTCGAAAAAAACAAACTCCAACCATTCAGGAGATCGGCACAATAATGGCCAGATTTCACCATTTAAAAAATTATAACTACAAAAGCAATGCCTAATGGTATCCCAAGTAACAGTCACAACTACTACAATAACGATAACCACAAAATAACTACAAGCGCTACAATTAATGCAACTAAACACAGCTGCAACAACCACCCCCAATCGGATGACAGTAAGGAGATAGTAAAATATTGACGGTAAGCTGACTGACAACTGACTACACCTGACACAGGGAGCAGACGTTCAGGGAATGTTTGTGGTTGCACCAACGTTCTTGGTCTTTTTTTCGAGAGAAAGAGAGAGAGAGAGAGAGAGAGAGAGAGAGACAGACAGACAGACAGACAGACAGACAGACAGACAGGCAGGCATACAGACAGAAAGAGAGAGAGAGAGAAAGAGAGAGAGAGAGATAGATAGATA